TATTTAACATAGATGCTGAGTAAAGATTGTGCGCTCAGCACTCGCTTAACGGTTATATATTCAAAGTTATTTGTTTCGCTGCGTTTTTTTTCTGCGGAAACTCACTGTTTTTATACGGCGTACACAAGTGTTTAGTAGCCAAAGATGTGCAATATTAATATTAATGACCGACTGTCTGCATATTTTAAGAACAAAGACCCGAGTTGTTGCAAGTCTCTTCACGTGGGTACCTTCACCGAACAGCGCTTAGGCCAGAAGACAATCAAAATTTCAGTATCGCTTCAAGTACTTCCAATAACTCATCCAGGTCATCATTTACAAATACAAAGAAGCCGCGGTGCTTCGAAAAAAGAACGGGTTGTGTCTCCAAAGAACAGAAAAAGCGTCTATATAAAGAAGCACTTGGAATACTTGACCATAAACTAACAAGAAAACCGAAAATTCAAATAATTTTTGTACTCCAACACTTTTCAAAATAGAAGTTGAATTTAAAACGATATTTCTTTGAACCGGGTAACTGTAGTTACTTAAGGCCAGGTAGCTCAAAATATCCATTGTCCAGTAAATTGCTAGAAAATACTCTCAGAAATCTCAGTCCGAAATGTCAGCAAGGCCAAGAAAAAAGTATAGAAGGGGGAATAGCTGAGCGCGCCAAGCAGTAAATCCAGCCGCTCGAGCACTTTAGTCGCATTTTACTCGAAACCACGTTTTTTCAACTGGGTGACACTCTCATTTAAAACCTATTGAACTTATCAACATGAACTTAACGGCATTTTTCCTCTAAAATGTCTCTCTATGATCGGTAGTACAACCAAAAATATCCATCGTTATTTTAAAAACTTATGAATAATTACAATTACAAAATGGGTAAAACATTAAAAAGTTTTTTTTTTTTATTGGTGAAAATGTTTCTTTGTAGTTCCGGTCATAGCCAAAATAACAAAGAGACGTGTTTTAGCAGCAATTTTAAGAGCAGCCATTATAAAAAAAAATTTTTTCTATTAATACTTTTATACAAAAGCTTTGACATATTGATGAGTGCCTAAGTTCGTGCCCGATTTCAAGTGCAAACTAAAATTGAAATTTTTTGAAGAAAGCGCTTTTATTAATCAATTATGTATTCGCCATCATGTTCGGCAATCCACTCCCAACGTTCAACCAATTTACGGATGCCTGATTCATAGAAATCGCGCGGTTTCTCGTTGAATAAGGTGTCAAGGTGATTTTAGACGTCTTCCATATTTTTAAATTTTTTTCCATTCAAATTGTTCTGCAGCGATCGAAACAAATGATAATCAGAATGAGCAATGTCGGGTGAATATGGGGGATGCGGCATGATTTCCCAATTCATCTTCTTCAGTTTGGCCAGGGTCGGTTTTGCAACATGTGGCCTGGCGTTGTCATGATGGAAAAGAACTCCTTTGCGATTGGCCAAAATCGGACGTTTTTCATCAATTGCTTTCTTCAATTCGACCAATTGCTGACAATACTTGTTGTCAGTGATGGCTTCTCCAGCTGGCAAGAGCTTAAAATAGATCAACCCTCGGATATCCCACCAAATGCAGTACCTTCATCGGATGCAATCCACCTTTCGACATCGGTTCCGCCCCTTCGTGTGCCTGTTTCCATGTTCTTTTGCGTTGAACATTGTTGTACAGGATCCATTTTTCATCACCAGTCACGAGCCGATCCAAAAAAGGTTCGTTTTTGATCCGTCGAAGCAAAGAAATTGCTGTTGACATACGGTCCACTTTGTTTTTTTCACTCAACTGATGTGGCACCCATGTATCGAGCTTCAAAGTGTACCCAACCTTTTTTAAACGACGAAACGCAGTTGATTTGTTGACGTTCAATTCACTGGCAACCTCTTCCGTCGAAATACGTGAGTTATTCGCAACTAAAGTCCTTAGAACATCGTCATCAAGCTCAGAAGGCCGTCCACTGCGAGGTTGATCTTCGAGGTTAAAATCTCCAGAACGAAATTTCGCGAACCATTTCTTTACTGTGCGGAGTGCTGGAGCACGGTCCAAATAAACTTCGCGAATATCTTTAGTTGCAGCGCCTACTGGTTTTCCTTTGCGGAATGCGTATAACATAATATGACGCATATGAACTTTTTCGTTGTCCATCTTACATGCGTCTTTTCACTAAGCAACTCAAATCAAAATGAAGTTATTTTATACTTGATTTACAGTTCGGACTGTCACCTTTCAAACGATATATAATATGCATATATTTCTTTCACGAGCGCCACTCTCACACGATTCGAACGGCACCCAGCGGAATCGGGCACGAACTTATGCACTCATCCAATATAAATACTTTTTTTTTTAAATAAATAAAATATATTCACTTCACACAAGCAAACCAAGCCTTTGGTTTACTTAATACTTATATCAAAAATTATTATATAGCATGGCCGCAAAAACAATTATAAATAAAATTTGTTTGAAAAACACCTTTTTTGGAGAAACCTGGGCTTAAATTCACTTCATCGCCTCATTACCTCGCAAAACGAAAAGCGAGTTCTGGCAAGAACAACGGTATGCCACAAAATTTCTACCATCAAAAATGTTTTCATGTCTATATGTATTAATGTATATATGTATGTACGTACTTAAGTATGCATATTTGCGTGGGGTGAATTCCTGCTGCCAAAGTAGCAATTGAAATAATTATGTTGCAGCCAAAAGCATTAAGTACTTAAATAATGTACAATAATTGCGTCAACATTCTGCGGCAATTTCAAGTCACTGGATCGGCACGGCCGCTGCTGCTTCTCCTTGCGCCAATTAAATGGCATACCTTATCAATTACCAACGACATAACTACAATTAGTGAAAATATTTCACTCACCAACTGGTGCCTTTAATGTTTTAACATAAAGTGGTGTAATTTGGCAAGCACTGATTTATGCTTCTACATTTACATATACATATAGACTCATATGAATTACGAGTGGTATGCACGCAACAAAAAAATTTCTACAATAAAAAAAAATAATAAAATAAATTAAAGTATAATCAAAAATAATAAAAGTAAATTCCAAAATTAAATCAAAGAAATGAAATGAAATGAAACAAAAGGGATAAAATTAAAAAAATACCTTAAGTTAAACTAAAATTAAATAAAATACGTTAATAAGAAGTAAAATTAAAAAAATTAAAATAAAACAAAACAAATATAAAAAAATTATAAAAATTAATAATATAAAAAATATGAAATGAACTAAGAGGGATACAATTAATAAAAATAAAATAAAATAAAAACAATTAAGAAAATAAATAAAAATTTATAGTATAATATAAAAAAATTAAATAAAATAGTTAAGTTAAATGAAATAAAATAAAATAAAATAAAATAAAATAAAATAAAATAAAATAAAATAAAATAAAATAAAATAAAATAAAATAAAATAAAATAAAATAAAATAAAACAAAATAAAATAAAATAAAATAAAATAAAATCAAAATAATTAAGAAAATAAATTAAAAATATATAATATAATACAAAAAAAATAAATAAAATAACATGAAATTAAATATATAAATATAAATATAAGTTAAATGTAATTAAATAATATAAAATAAAATAAAATCAAAAGAAATGAAATAAAATAATGAGTTTTCAAATTACTTCGGTCCTTGGTTGTGTTCAAAAAAGTTTTTTACATTGAAAACAAAAAGTTCAAAATATTCTCTCATCTCATCTCATCATACATCTCTCTGGTAATTTTCGTTTAGCATCTCTAACAAAGAAGAACTCGCTAACGTCCATCTTACTTCGATTTTCTTAGAAGACCGGAACTGGTGACCCCCGAAATCGTTTTATATCTGCCGCAAAAACCAGTAGGCGGAATACGCAAGGAAGGTCTCGAGATTATGGCGTGTGGAATAAGATTCATTTTTTCCAGCTTTCCAGGCCGAGCGTTGTCATTTGGAAAAGTCACCTTGTAATGCCGTTCGGTCGCTGCGGTCTGCGTTTTCTTCACGATTTAGCCGGAAATCATACCCGATTTCTGTCTTCTGCACCGTGCTTACTGATATATACCTTTTGTTGTAGTGATTTTCGAACTTTTCAAAATTACCGTTAGTTCGGAAGTGATTTATATTCGTATCTATATCGATTATTTCATGACATATTCAGCCACATAAATTATTTAGAATCAATTGGTGATTATTATTTGATTCCAAGAATCTCTTGATTCTTTATAAAAAATTACACTCAAAATTATTATTTTTCAAATGCATTTACAGTTACTAAGCCTTAAACCTGTAAATCGTGCGGAAATAAGCAAGGATTTGTTGCGATTGCTATACACAACGCTCTAGCTGCTAGGCAATTCGCTCCACTGCTCCTCAATGTAGCTCAAAACAAAAAAAAAAAAAAAACAAAAAAAAAATGAGACAAAAAAACACAAAATTAAACCAAAAACAAATGAATGCAAATCCTTAAGAATAACATATGTATGTGTGGTAAGCTGTAGTCACACAATCAAGCCATTCTTCACACATACAATGGTATTAGTATGATATATATGTAAGAAAATATATAAGCGCTGAAACGCAAATTGACCAACAGCTTGCCCAAGCGCAGTGGATTAACTTGGAATGCCAGAGTGTTCAGTCGACCAGTGAATATACGAGTTATCCGTTATACCGCGTTGCTCGGTTGCATTTTTCGTTCATTTCCGCTGGTGTGCTTTTAGGCGCGCAATCATAATAATAGTCGATTTTTTCTGGCTCTTTTTTGAGTGAGAGAATAAATGGTGGACGTAAGGTTTTGAAGGACAAATGATGAATGACATATATGTATGTATGTGTGTGTGTCTGGTTGGATATACGTATATAAAAAGATGTAATAAAATCGAATTTCAAAGAATTTCCATGTAAAATATTTTTCAAAATTGCAAAAAAAAATATCCTTTGTTTTAATTCATTCTTCAAATTTGCAGTGCTATTAAACATTTATTCAAAAATTACTTTTGTGCTCTTTTCCAGGGCGAAAGTGCTCGAGTGCTCGGCCAAGGAGGATCAAAACGTGACTGACCTCTTCAAAACGTTGCTGTCACTTTCGCGATTTCTGCCTGTCGGGAGCAATAATGATGGCACAAGTGGACTAAAGCGACGCTCTTCGGCATATGTTAGCGCATCGTCAAGTAGAAGTAAGTACACTCACATACATACTACTTACATACTTATAATCAAGTTTGCGCTGAGCAAACAAACTTGAGAAGTGAAAGAAAAAACAAAAAAACAATCAACAGCTGAGATAGTTTTTAAACAAAGGAAAATGAGGCACGAAATGAACTGGTTGAGTGGAAGTGAAGGAAAATTTAATTCAGTTGCAACTGCATTTCCTCACTTCAAGACTTTTCTCTAAGATTACAAGCTCTATGGAGACGAGCTTCTAGCGACCGTTTAATTGGAAGAAGGCGCGTTTTTGAGTAAATGATTTTTGCTTCCTTTTCCTTGTCTCTCAACTCGCTTCTTTGTTGGTGTCATCTTATAGAGCAGAACTAAAGCTGGTGTATTGTGGTGGGTGTGTGGTCTGCGTGTGCACATTTGCTGATTATTTTTATCTTTTCCTGCTACTGCTCCAGCTGCGTTGCCATAACCGTGCCATGCCGTCACGCTACAGAGTTGGAGTGTAGAAAATTGAAAATGAAATTAAATTCTCACGAATCGACTTAAGATTTCCTCTTCTTGAAGGTTAAATAAAGTAATATTTTATTTAATTCAATGTTGGTAACTGTTTAGAATTGATAACTTTACGAGTAGTAGATAACTTTGAGTAGACTCCGCCATCGATCCTGTAATGTACTTCTGACCCTTGAGTCAGCTTTTGCTGTTACAATCCTACCGTTTTTGTTTCTACACGGGATAAATACCATGAAATCTATGTCCCATCTAACAGACAGAACGTACCTAGGATTTTAGTATAACCGTTGTTTATCACATGTCATTCAGACACCTTTTCTAAAGCATGCTTTTTACAAATGGTTGACTTCCTCTTGAGTGTTAATAACTAGAGCATTACTTCGTAGAGTGTAAAGAGCGATAGTTACTTTATACATCCATCCATTCAAGTTCTGTGATCAGTTATGTTAAGTCAAGAGTAAGTTCTAGCTTCACGCCTGAGATAAAGGGAGTAAATAACTTCAAAATCTTATACAACCAAGTGAAGAGACTAAGCTCTATCTTCAGTGCGTTATTGCCCAAACCAGCAACATTAGTCCCGTTTTCTATTCGCCTTGATCTGTCCCGCATGATGTCAAATTTTTAGGATTTCGCTATTCATCAAAACCGTCAGATTGTCCGTGTATGCAAGCTGACGCTAGACGACACCAGAAGTGCACTCAGAATTGGAAAGGACCTCTCTGAGCCATGCGATACTAAACGCGGTTTCAGTCAGGGTGAATCTTTGTCCTGTGATTTCTTCAAATATATGCTGCAGAGCTGAATATAGGAGGAACAATCTTCTTCCAGTGTACAACTACTGGTGTACGCCAATGATATTGACATTATCGGCCCCACATCCGACTTGGCTCCCATGTCACTGTTGACAGTCATAACTTTGAAGTCGTAGATAGTTTCGTCTATCTAGGAACTAGCATTAACACTAATAATAACGTCAGTCTTGAAATCCAGCGCAAAATCACTTTTGCCAACGGGTGCTCCATTGGACTGAGTACTCAATTGAAAAGTAAAGTCCTCTCCTGACGAATGAAAACCAAACTCCACAAGTCCCTCATAGTTCCCGTCCTGCTATATGTTGCGGAAGCATGGACGATGACAGCATCCGATGAGTCGGCGTTAGGAGTTTTCGAGAGAAAGGTTTTGCGTAAGATTTATGGTCCTTTGCACATTGGCAACGACTAAAACGGCAGACGATGGAACGATAAGCTGTACGAGTTAAACGGCGACATTCATATCGTTCAGCGAATCAAGCGCTGGCTAGGTTATGTGGTCCGGATGGATGCGAATACTTCAGTTTTGAAAGTTTTTGATGCGGTACCTGCCGGTTGAAGCACTTTGGAAGACCTTCACTCCGTTTGAAAAACCAGCTAGAGAAGGTCGTGGCTGTACTTGGTGTTTCCCATTGGCACCAAACAGCAAAGAGAAGAAAGTAGTGGCGCAATATTGTTAAATCGACTATAAGCGCGTAAGCGGTGTCTACGGCAGTAAAGTAAGTAAGTAAGTACCAAGCTTTCATGAAGGCGCACTGCTTTTTCGAGAGCTTGGTGTGTTTTCACACAAGAGACCTAATATATTTCCCCATTAAAGCGATTGTCCAGAATAACCCTACTCTTGTACCCGCCTTCCAGTTAGACCAAATCGTATATATATAAGTATCTTCACAATCACTTACAGCCTTTCTTCCGCCTACTGGAAGGAGTATTACGAGTTCTGTTATGTTTTAAAAATTTTTCATGGTTCCTTAATACACCTTTTTCTCACTGCCAATCAGCTTTGTTTTCTTAAACAAGAATAAAGTGAACAGTTCTAAAAGTTCATTGAAAGCCAAAGACAGTAAAAAGAGGCCCAACATTTTTTCTACACCCCTTTTTTATTTTTTGCAGAGGATCTTCAATACGCGTTTATTCAGTATCAAACGAGGAGTAAAAATTTTCAAAAATATCCTTTTACATTTAAAAATTATTCCTGCCGATTAATTCCACATTTTTTTTTTCATTTTTCTCTCTTACTGCAAGCGGATTCGCCATACAATGGCGCTTACAAGTATTTACATGACGATTTACCTCTATTTATTTATATGCGCATTTCTCCGTGCACAGCGCTCAGCGCCATCAGGCACCAGAAGGCACCAGCCGGCCGCTCAAACACGGTAATTTACACCGTAGTCGGCACCGTTCTGCGTCACTATGGCACTGCAACAACAGCACGTGCCATTCTCTCACTTCTGCGCCGTTTCTCCGCCGTTGGCTATGCAACTCTTATCTATACATATGTATGCGTATATGTATTACACTTTCGGTTCTTTTTTGTTTTTTTTTCTACCTCCTCTTTTTTCCCATCCGCATAACTCCAACTTTATTGGCAACGGTGTTTATGTGTATGTGTATGTGTTCATGAAAACACCGCAATTGCAGCGACTTGTGCTGAGCACGTTCCACAGATTCAACTGCTGCAGCAACAAAATGAAATGAAAAAAAAAATGAATTAACAACAATAGCAACATTGCGGTCTCCAACGTAATTGTGCGACAGTGCAGGGGGAACAAAGGTTGCCATTGGAGTCGTCAGCGCCGCAAGAGTGCAGTGAGCCGCAGCATTCATGCGCTACTCAACGAGCTCTCCAGCTATTTTTATTTCATTTCGTTTTGCAGTTTTTAATTCTTTTTTCCATTTTTTTTTTCTTTTACTCTGGTGCATTGCTTTTTTCTCTCACCTGTCTCGGTTTAGCAATTTCTCTGCCACCCGCCCACCATTTTCGCACTCCGCTGCGCTCTGAGGTTACCAGATTTTACCGCATTACCTTGCTGCGCTCTTCTCTGCTTCAACTTCTTCCTTCACTTCTTGCCGGGAAAATTTACATGCAACTCACTTTTCCTATTGGTTGAGTTTATTGCTACACTTAACACTTGCCACATGCCACATGCCACTTGTGCCGTTCATTAATTTTGGGACTCCAACGCAGCGTGTGTTAGTGCTGTGTCGCCAGCACTGGAGATGTTGCTAAATTCTTACGAGTACATATATACAAACATAGTATATGCATACTATATTTATTGCAAATTCAAAGAATCAATTATTAACAAATCAGTGGGCGGGCGTCACCGCAAATTTGTCGTTTTGTTATTGTAAATCTTAAAATTTTAGTTGCATGAAAGCGCATGCCCCCTAGCGAGTGCGGCTTGCAACGAACAGCTTTTATTTTCGTTGATCAAAATTTTTAAAAGGAAACTAAATTAAAAATAAAATATAAAATTAAAATTGTTTAAAATTAATTAAAAAATATTCGATTCTGTCAGAAGAATTTAAATTTTTAATATATTTTTTTTTCACCTAAGCAAACAACAAAAGAGAATACAGAGTGAAAGTAAGACCCGAAGAATGTTAAAATGACATCCAATCGAAATTCAAATCATTCTTTTACATGTCACGTGGCACGGAATATTAATGGCTGAGGGGTTATATTTCGCTCACTCTCATCGCTAGGACAGAAACACGTAGTAGAGAGAGACGGTTGCCGAGACTCTCTTAATTACCGCTGTAAGGCATTTTCGGGAACATTTTGTGAATCTTTAAATGCCTTGGTTTCTGGTGCACAGAGAAACCACACAGATTTGCTCATTAGACATCCTCAGTAAGCCCCACTCTCCGTTTGTGAGACGGGGTGGCAGTCATAGAATTCGAAGCTACCTCGCTTATTGGGTTCGTCTTAGAAAAATTCCGCTTCTGTGCCTGCCTCGCTTTTAGACCTATCTGTGTATACATAAATATCTACTATGGAAGTAGTAGCTGATATCTACACAGGAGAGGGATTTCGAGCTAAATTTCTTTGTGCGTTGAGATCGAGTTCTGTTATAGTTTTCTATATGCTGCCATATCCTTCACAGTTCGGCGGCTGGGCCTAAAACTAAGGCGACTAGCTGTTGATGTTATTCGCTTCGAGCTTGCTGTACAAAGTGGACAGCTTTACTGAGCCAGCTTTCTGTAAGTCGAAGCGCTTTTATGTTCATGGAATGGAATGTGACTCATAATTTCTATAAGAACGGGGCATCATTGTTATTGACAATTAGTATTTTAGCCATTGCCAAGCAAGCAAAAAAATTATAATTGAAAAGTGAAACATGGAAAAATATCGAATATCATGACGTTATGAAGTTCCTTGCCAAGTACGGAAAAACAGTTGTGATGATAATGAATGAGATGTCATTGGCTTACGGCGACTCTTGTCTGGGAGAGGCAATGATGTACCAGTGGCTCAATTAGTTCAAACAGAAAGTGCATTTCGTGGATTCGTCCGGAAGTCAAAAAGTTGAAAAACTTGTCATCGATGATGATCAACTAATTTTTTTATATTTTTTTTACGTTTAAAAAAGATATTACCTCCAGAAATAGTTGGATCATCCAATTCAATAATTTTATCGCACAATCGTCTCGTCATTACTAAGGTAAGCGCCTCCTCAAAACTTCTT